TTTACAATTTTATCAAAAACATCTGTAACGATTTTCTTATTCTATGAAATATATATATTCCATGTAGCCAATTCTTATTCTCATTGAATTGGTCTGACTGGACTTAAACATTCTTTTTCTAAAGCACCTTTAATTTTGTTCATTGGAAATAATTAAAGGTGACCAGGGGATCCCATCCCCCCAAGGTCGATGGCGCAAGAACCTTCTCCCCCCCCCCTCCTCCAAAGATATTTTATTAGCCATCTTTTCTTAAAAATGAAGCAAGCTAAGATAGAATTATAAAAATTGTAGATCATATTATATTATATTAATTAATTAATTATACTTGCTGAGGTCTGTTCCATGTTTTCCGTTTTTCCCTTATTCCGAAAATTCATAACCCTGTCGAAATTTTCTCTTCTCAAAAATTCAAAAACCTTTCAAAATATACCCCCTTCAAAAATTTTTATGGCGCATCTTGCGCCATGAAACTCCCTTCTGGGCACCCCTGGAGGTGATTCATAGTTAAGAACAGTAAAAATAGATTAATTAGTTAAAAACGTTTGTTAATTAACTAAAATTGAAAATGAGAGAAATATTTTTGAAGGTATGAAAACTAATTTCCAGAATAGGGATAAATTTCCGGAAATATCCAACATAAAAAGTCGTAAAAGTTAATAAAGAGTTACGGAAAACTAATTGTTGTAATTGATAATGTATGATTTTATTATGATTAAATGAATTTTTTTTTAGTTGAAAATTAATACATTTTTCCACATTGGAAGGCATTAATATTAGGGCTATATTAAACAATCACAACAATATATGCATACAAATTATAACTAAGATAGAAATAAAGGAAAAAGAGTTTTACAGAAAGTAAAATAAGAAAATTAACATACATACGTAAAAAAAAAAAAAATGTTAGAGAGAAACTGAATGAAATTAAAATAGATAAAACACATTCACACCTAAATGTAAAATAAATACTACCACTGAATTTTTTTAATTTTTTTTTATTCATTGATATTTACAACTGTATTATAAAAAAAAATTCAACTAGTAAATGTGCATCATTGGTTTTTGTGTTGATATGGTTTTGGAGGGGTGTTTTAGTAAATGGGGGTGTTAGATTTGGTTTGGGAGTGTGGTGTTGTGAAAGTGGAATGAGGAGGGGATGTAGAAGAGGTGGGGTGATGGGTGAGTGGTGGTTGATTGGGGGGTTTAGTGTGGTGGAGGTGGGGGAGGATGGGGGGGTGGGTTGGTTTGGGTGAGGGTGGGGGAATTTGAGGTTTATGTGGGTTATGGTTGGGAGGGTGGGTGGTGGGGTGGGGGGTATTTGGTTGGTGAGGGGTGGTGGGGTAGTTGGTGGGGGGTGGGGTTGGTGGGGTGTAGTGTGGTTGGAGTGGGGGGTGGGGTGAAAATTTGAGATTGGAAGGTTGGAATTTGTGGGAGGTGGTGGGGATGTGTGTAGTGGAGGGGTGTTGGGTGGGTTTGAGGTGTGAGGGGGGAGTGGTTGGGAGGATGGTGGAGGTTTGGGAGTGATGGGGAAAGGGGGGATGGAGGGGGTTGTTGGGTGGATTGTGGTGGAGGGGGGTATGGGGGTGGAAGTGGTTTAGGTTGGGGGGATTAGGGGTGTTGGGGGGGTTGGTGTTTGGTGTAGGGTGGTATGGTGGGATGTGGGTGGAGTAGATGGGGTTTGGTTGTGGGTTGGTGGGTTGGGTTGGGTGGGAGTTGGAGGATGGGGGGGTATAATGGATGATGGGGGGGGGTGTGGTGTGGGTTGTGGTGGGGGTGGATGGTGGTGTGGTGATATTGGTTATGTTGTGGTATGGGGGAATGATGATTTGGGGGTCGTCTGCTTATGTGGGGATGAAATGTTTTGGGCAGGTGAGTTGGATGAGGGTGTCAGGCTGGTTTACTGTGTTAAGATAGGTAACTAGGATGTAGCTTGAGGGTGGCTACACACTGACTGTAGGTTTTTGTGGTTGTATTTGTGTTGTTGGGTGTGTATTTTCTGACTATTAAAGCATCTTTCGGTGAGAGATGTTGGAGCGGATATGAGTAGTATGTAGGTGCAGGAATTTACGGATTTTGTACATTAGTCCAGGCTGGCACACCCTATCAAACGCCTGTTCAACGTTGAGAAAGACTCCCGTGTAGTCCGCGCTCTAGTACAATGCAGAGGAGACTACGTCCACCATACACGATGACATTGTTGGATAGTGGAATGAGATGTGCGGAATCCAAATTGATGGTCAATACTTTATATTAATTGTATTTTTTTTATTCGTAAATAAAGTAATATATTGAGATTTATTAAAAAAAATCATTTCTTCTGAAAGTAGGGCAGTAAGTGGCAGTTTTGTGATTTACTACACCCGATATATAGGTAGAAAATCGGGTGTATATAAAAATAAAGTAAAATGAATTAAAAAATATTTCACCATAAATAAAGAGTAGACTACCTATTAAATTTACAAATAATGAAAAGAATTTTATGTATTAAAAATTTTATATTGTGCAATAAACGACAAGTACGGATAGCAGAATAAATGTGATGTGATATATATATACATATATATTTATAAGTATGCAAACACACATTTATGTATCTATCTCTCTCTCTCTCTCTCTCTCTCTCTCTCTCTCTCTCTCTCCTCTCTCTCTCTCTCTCTCTCTCTCCTCTCTCTCTCTCTCCTCTCTCTCTCTCTCTCTCTCTCTCTCTCTCTCCTCTCTCTCTCTCTCTCTCCTCTCTCTCTCTCTCTCTCTCTCTCTCTCTCTCTCTCTCTCTCTCTCTCTCTCTCTCTCTCACTCTCTCTCTCTCTCTCTCTCTCTCTCTCTCTCTCTCTCTCTCTCTCTCTCTCCTCTCTCTCTCTCTCTCTCTCTCTCTCTCTCTCTCTCTCCTCTCTCTCTCTCTCTCTCTCTCTCTCTCTCTCCTCTCTCTCTCTCTCTCTCTCTCTCTCTCTCTCCTCTCTCTCTCACTCTCCTCTCTCTCTCTCTCTCTCTCTCCTCTCTCTCTCTCTCTCTCCTCTCTCTCTCTCTCTCTCTCTCTCTCTCTCTCTCTCTCTCTAAAATAAAAAAAAAATTAAAAAAAAAAATGTTAAGGTACAATGTATATTGTAATAAAAATGGTAAAATTGTAAATGTTTAAGTATTTTTGTCTGTAAGAAAGGACCATAGGTCTTAAGACAAATAACAAATCAATCAATCAATGTCTCTCTCCCTCTCTCTCTCTCTCTCTCTATATATATATATATGTGTGTGTGTGTGTGTGTGTGTGTGTGTGTGTGTGTGTGTGATTGTGTGTATATATACATATATGGAAACTGACACTGCAAGTGATACTAATGAATCGATTTCTCAGTAAAACGATTACGCTTTGAGTGTATTTCCTGTCGTAACCCTTGACCTAAAAATATTTACTGACCTACATCATCAATGATAACACGTACATTATGGTGAAAAATGATAAAATAAATAGTAATCAATTTTAAGAATATTAATCACCTTAATACTTGATCAAAAATTTAAAACACATGTTTAATAAATACCAAATTTCGAATCATCTTAGGTTCTATTGGTACTGGTTTGTTTTGATTTGAAACCAAATTTTTTGAAAAAAAGAAAGTACACAATTCTCAAAGAGCTTGATTTAAAATATGAAAACAATTAGAAATTAATATTATGGATCATTAATTTTTCGCTTGCAATTGGAGAAATCAGAGTCTTAAATCAACATTGATTTACGCTCATATTAAGTATTTAAAATATATGTTTACTGTTAAAGGTTTTCAGTAAAATAATTTTATTAGTATGTCATGGGCATAATAACCAAAAACTGTCAATTTAAAAAATAGAGATTGTATTGAATATAAAAAAGATAGGATGAAAATGTAAAGCATTGGAATGAAATTTATAATAAGAATAACTTTAAATAGTGAGACGTGTCCAAAAGTATTTTAAAATTGTTGAATGGACTTTTCTTAAATAGTTATGATATAATTATTTGAAGAAGGTGAGGATAAGATGAGGATATAAAAAGTTCGACTTGAAAATGGGCAAAGTTGGTCGAAACGTTGTTGTAATAAATAAAATAAATTGAAGCATTGATAGAAGGTGAAAGGATTTAGTAAGTGATTTCCTTGAAATCATTAGTTTTATTAATTAATTAAAAATTCTCTTGGAAAATTTTAAGATTTGATAAAAATTGAAGTTTTTTCTAAACTTAAGACGTTAGATTTTAAAGTCTAGTAATTTTTATTGATTGTTTGTATATATATATATATATATATATTTTAATCATAATCCTATAATATTTTGGTCCTTCATAGTTCTTATCCATTTCCAAGTTTATGTTAAACTAATGCTTAATGTGTCATTGAAAATTCAAAGTTAGAATAATATATAGATACCAAATAATATGGAAAGTAATTTATATAATTAAAGATATTCATTTACTACAGATCAAATCGCAACATGTGGTTTACGAATTAATTGGATTGTTTTTGGTGGTTGCGACGTAGATTTTTCATAATATTTTATTGAAAGTTGATTTTAAACTTTTTATTCATTCATAGTGAACTAACCAGAAGGTGGCATTGCGAAGGGCTTCAAATCGGAGACGGGGATTTTTAAAACCTCGTAAAAAATATTTTAAGTATATTTCGAGCACACAATACAATATTAAATCCAATATAATGTTATTCATATTAAAAAAAAAAAATTAACGTCATATTTTTATGTATATGATAACACAGCCGTTTCTTTTCCGCGAATTTTGTGTAACAATTTTAGGGGATTCAAAAATTTGCTTCAACGAGCCTCCAAAATCATACTTATACTGTTCAATGAATCATGTGTTTGACTAGTGGATTTTAAATCTCTCCAGAGTTGTCCTTTTAAAGCGAAACTGTGCGAGGCCTGGGTGTTGGCGTCTGAGTGGGAGTGAAATAGGAGGGTAGGGAGGGGAGGGAGAGAGGAACCAGTTGCCCAGTTCGGGAAGCCTAGTCGTAGGGAAGCAGCCGTCATGTTCAAGTCGAAGCTGACAGGAAAGAAGAAGAAGACGAAACCGGTCGTCAAGATGGTCGGCTCCAAGATCGTCAAAGACGTCAAAGAGGAAGATGAGGAGGCCATGTCCGAAGCTTCAGATGCTACCTTCATCATCGAACCCGGTGAGTCAAGTTCTTTTATAATTTCTGAGACTGAGGGTGTTTCCGAATCGAAGACACAATCCGCATCGGAATCTCGTAGCTCCGTCACGACAACTGGAAAAGTTAAGACTTCTTATATCACGACGTATATTGATAGCGATGGCAATGTAACTAAGACCGTCACAGACCAATCGGAGCAAGACTTGCCCTCAGTCACACAGACCCAATACGCTGCTGCCGGATCTGTGTCAGAATCTAAAAATACTTATAGAAAAAGCGATAAAAGTTTAGATACTAATCAAGGTGCAATTACGACACATGGGGACGTTTCAAAAATAACCGACGGATCTCAAATTTCTGAAAATATTCAAAGTACTGATAGGAGAGTTTCACAATCGAGTACGTCTAGTAGGACTGAGCAGCGGTCATCAACGTCTTTCAGCGAGTCTCGCGTCTCCAGCTCGAAATCAGTTTCGAATAAAGTGATTTCCGAAGAAGAGGCTCGTTCTCTCACATCTGGAAAAGATATAAAAATGATAGGATCTGAAGTAGTTAAGGATATTTCTGCTGGAGATAAGTCTATTTCTGATCATTCTTCAACTCAGCAACACGGACAGACAACGAAAAATGAAATTATTCGAGAAAATATTGGAAGTTCGGAAATCGCATCAAATTCGAGAAACATTCAAAACGCCGCTGCTTCATTTATTCAAGAAGAGCGGAGACAACAAGAAATATCTTCTACAAAAAATTTATACAGATCTGATGTTGAAGATAGTGGACGGTCAAGTTATGATTTTCATTCATCACGAACTGAAGACCGTCAATCCCAAAATATCAACCAGACTACTACTGGTCATGACAGTTCTTTTGACGATAATGTCAAGAGAAGTCCGTCATCAACCGGAGGTGCCAAGTTGAAAGTGAGATTGGTTGGTTCGAAATTAGTTAAAGAATTTTCTGAAGATCCAGCAGATCGAAATGGATTGAGTGAAAGAGATTATTCTCGTAGAACACACGACTCCGATTCGATTCAAAAAGCAACAACGGGACATTATCAAACTCAATCTGACATACAATCTGATAGGAAGAAATTTACTCAATCAGCAGCTGGTGAAAGAGTTACAACTGATTCTGGGTTCAAACAGATGACTGAAGAATATATTAAAAATGCTGAAAAGAGTAACCGTAAGGATTCATACTCCCATTTTACAACTGATCATCAGAATGTCACTAATATGTCATCCGTTCAAAAATCCTCTGGATCTTCCATTAAAAAGGACATTATGAGTAGTAGAGATGGAGGTATTTCAGAAAACATCGATTTAGTAGAACCTGGAAGGTATGGAATTAATATGAACGTGCAATCTAGTCATTCTTCAGAAAGCCAAACGAGTTCGAGGAAGATAATAAGTGGCTCAAATGTTACAGAATCCACATCGGATAGAACTGTTGAATCTTCTAGAAGCGAAAGATCACCAATTGAGACAATCACTATTATCGAAAAGAGTCCGATTGGGATAAAGACTGGAACTGTTGAACATAAATCGACAGGACAGACTTCTGAAAAGATTTTGAGTCAAGATTTTATTACAAATGAATCAAATAAGCTTAGCTCAACGAAGTACAGCATTTCAGGTGATACAGAGAATGAAAGTTATAGGATTAAAGAAAGAGGTAGCCATATCAAAGACACTGGAAAAACTGCTGTCGATAGTACAGTACTTGAGTCGAATATCAATAAAAAGGAGACCACATCTAAAGGAGTGAGAATAGTAGGCTCAAAAATCGTTAAGAGTCAATCTCCTCCAAAAGAAATTGTCGAAACGTCAACTAGCCAAACATCCAGAAGAAATATGTCTGATAGTTCAACCACTGGCGTACAGAAAGACAAAGCGGTTCGCGACAGCAATGTATCATCCACAAGAACATCCACAGACGTCAGAATGATTGGTGGGAAATTGATTAAAACTGTTACAAAAATCACTGATGTCAGAACACCGTCTGAAAATATGACTATTATAGAAGAAATTTCTCCAGCAGGAAGTTCAGAAACTATGGTTGTAGATAATATTACTGATTCAACAACTAACAAAACTATTTATAAAGGGCAATCTCAAATTTCGTCAACCACTAACGACTGGCCTCGCGGTCCATCGGGAGAAATAATAGAAACTATTACAGTTACAAATATTATTCCAGAAAGTGACACAAGTACTCATACATCCAGTAAACAAACATCTTCAAAAGATGTGAGGATGGTAGGATCAAAAGTAGTGAAATCATCATTGTCTACTAATAAAACATCTTCAACCGAAGTCTATGAACCAACAGATACTTCAAAAACTAACATTACTCTGAGAAAGGTTGAACGAAGTCCTAATGCTGAAGGAGGGTCCGAGGGTTATCAAGAATTCATTACTTATTCTACTAGTACTCCTTTAAGGGAAGTTACCAGAGAAGTTGACGGATCGGTGGATCGAGCGTCCGAGAAGCACTCATCAGTTTCTCAAACATCCACTACAAGGATGGTTGGATCTAGGATTGTTAAATCATCATCGACCAAGAAGATATCTTCCACAAAAGACGATTACGAATCGAAAGACCTTGAAAGTCCTTACCAAACAATTGACAGGCCAAATGTTGAAAAATCACCTGTTGGTCAGATAGGAAGAATTTCTAATGAGCAAGATGAAGAGTTGAGGGAACGACACGGCACTTCAGGAAAAATTATAAGATATATCACTGAAGAACCTACATATAAAACAACACGAGTTGTAGATTCGGCCGTTGACGAAAAAAGCAATAAACAATCTTCAACAATTCAAAGCTCAACAATGAGAATGGTAGGCTCAAAGATTGTCAAATCATCATCAGCTCACAGAATATCTTCTACAGATAGTTTAACAACAGACTCAAGCACTATCGAGAGAAGCCCCAGTAGGCAAATTGAACAGCCACTGGCAGATGACATAACGAAAAGGCCTGATGAAAAATATGGCCACCTAAGAGATAGACCTGGTAGTTCTGAAGAGATAATTACATACACTACTGAAACTCCTGGGAAGAAAATAACCCACTTGAAAGACTATACCGATGATCAGACGAGTGAAAAGTTCAGTACTACCAGTCAAAGTTCTACTATCACAAAAGTAGGGTCGAAGATCGTGAAATCAACATCAACAAATAAGATTTCATCAAGTGATGATTTCGAGTCCATAAATACTAGTGGAAATCGTACAGGTTCCAAACAAAGCAATGAAAAGACAACGGAAGATAAGATTGTTGCAGGACGAACTGACAAAGATGGACCTAGGCATAGACCCGACATCGAAGATCACACTACAGAAAAACATACTTCTGTAAAAACAAATTCCACTGTAAAAATAATAGGTGGAAAAATTGTGAAATCGGCTAATCAAATTACTGACGGCCTCGAACATAAGGATACACCTAAGAAAACCACTAAAACTAGCCCTGATGGCAAACTTGAAAAATCTCCAGACAGAATCATTGACCGCTCCCCAGATCGAGCTGATAAAACATCAACAGAAACAATTACCTACACTACTAGCTCACCAGATACAGTGACAACCAGAGTTTCAGGAACTACTGAAAAACAGACAACAGTTAAACAAAGTTCAACTATAAGGATGGTGGGCGGAAAAATTGTGAAATCAACTACTGAAACTATCGATGACATTGAACCTAAGGATACATCGAGGAAGCCGTTAGAAACCAGTCCTACCAAGAAAGGAGAAAGATCTCCAGTCAGAAAAACTGAGCGCTCTCCAGACCAACCAGATGATCGAACTACAGAAGTGATAACATACACTACTAGCACTCCAGAGACCAAAACAACCAGAGTGTCTGATACAACAGAAATACATACTTCAGTTACTCAAAGTTCAACTATCAGAATGGTTGGAGGAAAGATCGTGAAATCAACCATGGATGATTTTCAACACAAGGATGTACCTAGGAAACCTATGGAAACCACTCCTACCACGAAAGGAGAAAAATCTCCAATTCGAAAAACTTATCACTCCTCAGATCAACCAGAAGATCGAACTACAGAAATTATAACATATACTACTAGCACACCAGAGACTAAAGCAACCAGGGTATCTGATACTACAGAAAAACACACCTCAGTAACTCAAAGTTCAACGAGCAGGATGGTTGGTGGGAAGATTGTAAAATCAATTACTGAAACCTATGACGATTTTGAACCTATGGATTCACCTAAGAAACCAACGGAAACCAGTCCTATCAAAAAAGTTGAAAGATTTCCAGGGAGAAAAATTGATCGATCTCCAGATCAATCAGACGATCGAACTACAGAAGTCATAACATACACTACTAGTTCACCTGAAACCAAAACAACCAGAGTATCTGATACGACGGTTAAGCAGAGTTCAACTATCAGAATGGTTGGTGGAAAGATCATCAAACCAACTACTGAAGATTTTGAACCTAAGGATACAACCAGAAAACCATTGGAATCCATTCCTTCCAAGAATGTAGAAAGATCTCCAGCCAGAATAACTGACCGTTCTCCAGATCAACCAGATGATCGAACTACAGAAGTCATAACATACACCTCTAGTACACCAGAGACCAAAACAACCAGGGTATCTGATACTACGGAAAGACAAACTTCAGTAACTCAAAGTTCAACAATAAGGATGGTTGGTGGAAAGATAGTGAAACCAACTACTGAAGATTTTGAACCTAAGGAGATATCTAGAAAACCGATGGAATCCAGCCCAACCAAGAAAGTTGAAAGCTCTCCAGTCAGAAAATCTGACAGCTCCCCAGATCAAACAGATGGTCGAACTACAGAAGTCATAACATATACTACCAGTTCACCAGAAAACAAAACAACCAGAATATCTGATACTACAGAAAAACATACTTCAGTTACTCAAAGTTCAACTATCAGAATGGTTGGAGGAAAGATCGTGAAACCTACTGCTGATGATCATGAACCTATGAATATATCCAGAAAACCATTGGAATCCAGACCTACTAAGAAAGATGAAAAATCTCCAGTCAGAAAAACTGACCGCTCTCCAGATCAACCAGATGATCGAACTACAGAGGTCGTAACATACACTACTACTAGCTCCCCAGAGAGGAAGACAACTAAAGTCTCAGGTACAACAGAAAAACATACCTCAGTAACTCAAAGTTCAACGATCAGAATGGTTGGTGGAAAGATCGTAAAATCAACCACTGAATATATTGACGATTTTGAACCAAAGGATTCACATAAGAAACCTAGGGAAACCAGTCCTATCAAGAAAGGAGAAAGATCTCCAGTCAGAAAAACTGAGCGCTCCCCATACCAACCAGATGATCGAACTACAGAAGTGATAACATACACTACTAGCACTCCAGAGACCAAAACAACCAGAGTATCTGATACTACAGAAAAACATACTTCAGTAACTCAAAGTTCAACTATCAGAATGGTTGGTGGAAAGATCGTGAAATCAACTACTGAAACCTATGACGATTCCAAACCAAAAGATTCACCTAGAAAGCCTTTGGAAAGTAGTCCTACTAGAAAAGTAGAAAAATCTCCAGTAAGAAAAACTGACCGTTCTCCAGATCAACCTGATCTAATTACTGAAGTTATCACGTACACTACAAGTACACCAGAAACGAAGACAACAAGGGTCACTGGCACTACAGAAAAGCACACTTCAGTGACTCAAAGTTCAACTATACGAATGATTGGAGGGAAAATTGTGAAATCTACTACTGAAGATTACGAACCCAAAGACACGCCTAAAAGACCAGTAGAAAAAGGTCCTTCCAGGAAAGTTGATAAATCACCAGTCAGAAGAATCGACCACCCATCGGATCATCCTGAAAGTCCAACTACGGAAATTGTTACTTTTGTTACAAGAACACCTGAAACAAAAGTAACCAGAGAAGTTGGAAAAACTGAACACATTATATCAGAAAAACACACTTCTGTTAGCCAAAGTAGTGCAATACGGATGGTCGGATCCAAAATAGTCAAATCGACTTCGATCAAAAAAATTGATTCACCCGACGATGTACAACCAATTGATACAATCAGGACTGTAGAAAGAAGTCCGTCGCGAAAAGTAACATCTTCAACAGAGGAATTAGTCACTTCTAAGACTGTCAAGTCTTCATCATCTAAGACAATAGACGAGGTAACTGAACCGAAAGATCGCAAACCAAAAGGCGATAAAGAGAGCCCTACTAAGCCGGCTCGCCGGGGTCCAGATGAACCAGACAACATTTATTCTGAGACAATTGTCAGTCAGTTCGTCAATAAGTCTGAGGACGTGAGGAAGGTCAGCACTAAAGTAGAGGACGTGGTCTCCCGCACAGAAGTTGAAAGGAGTACCTGGCCCGACCTGGTGAAGGAATCCAAACCGACGAACGAAACGAAGACACCGAAAAGACCGAAAGATGACAACCGCACGCCGAAGAAGCCTGATGTGGTGAAGGAGCAATGCATCTGTGAATGGTGCACTTGTGGGTAAGTAATAATTTTTAACTTTCTATTTTTTGTCTTTCGTAATAGGCCAGTGACAAGAACATCTGATATAGCCATCGAGAAAGTTGTCTTAGGCATTGTAATCAGTGGCCTTATACGATTGACCAACCAAATTCATAAAATAAGAATAATTAGAATAAAATAGTTCACTCATCACTAACTGCATCATATCATTCATCATAGACTGTAATAGAATGTGGGTTTTCTAGTGATTGTAAGCTGATTGATGATTTTGGATTAAAATGAAAGAAAATATTTCTTACTGTGACAAAAAGTCCACTATATTAGGGGCAAAACATTAAAAATTAATTAGCCGTAAAGTTTAATTGATTGTATATATCGTTATCATTATTAGCTATAGGATGGCATACAGAATCAAAATAATTATCGACTATTTGTTTGAAAACTTGACGTGTATAATGGCTGTATTCAGTAAGGTCATGCGTCGTTGACCTCTTTCCATAACAAGAAAATTATTTTGTACCCAGTAGTTAGAGATTTTATCACCTGGTTATTATATCTATAATATAATACATCGTAATTGATACTATGTAAATGAAAAACATCGACCTACATAATGAGTAATAAGAAAAAATGAAATAATTACAAAAGAATTCCTGAAAACGAAACGAAATAATAAAGTATTTTAAACAATATTTTAATGGTCCCGGAAACTTTTAATGTAGATATTTTATCGGTGTGCTACCAATGGGTAGTTTCACTACAAATCTGTTATATCGTATACTTGTGTAATGTTCACACTAAATTGTATTTTTTATTTTAATACAGTTGCAAATATCAATAAATAAAAATATATATATTTTTAGGAATAATTAAAATCATTTTATACGTCATAAATATTGTTTGTACCTATGCCTATTATTACAGTTGATTTTATGTTCATTAAGTCAGTCTAAATGGTGTTAAAAAATCATTGAGCAGTAGAAATAAAATAATATGAATTTAGATTTAATAATACACGATAAAAATTAATATCACAAACTTTTATTTGATTCATTGTATATACCAATGGGATCACTTTGATTTTCAACCTATTTCTGTTTTTGGGTGAGTTAGAATTAATAAAGTATATCTCATGAAAATAAGCTCCAATAAATGTTTTTACCAATTTATTATTAATTATTTCTAACACGCAATCAACATATCTATTAAATTTCGTGATAAGTAATTTTTAATTATTTAAAAAAATATATATACTGCGAACGTTTGGTGTTTATAGTACAAGTTTCGGAATGCATATTGTTTCGGATTTTCTGATTTACATAAAAAAAATTACCATGATATTCGATTTTAATGCACACAAACGATTTAAAGATGATCTTTATGTGGTTTAATCTATTAAGAATGTTGATGCTTGTGGGTCCTGTTTTTTTTTTTTTTATTACTATTGTTTAGTATAATATTAAGGGGCCATATCATGTTTTCAAATAAAAATTTATTTCTTCAATTTCTTTTTTTTTTTAAAGTTTTCTATTAATAAAATAAGAAAGTTGCTGATATGTTTAGAGCCATGCAACTTTCCTGTTTTCCTCAATCATGTGAATCATCGGTTGAAAGGGTGCAAGGGGGCGATGTGTCTTCTTCCCCGAGGAGAACTTTTTAGACTGGGCAAGGCACTCAAGCCCCCTTAGCTCGGAGTCGATTGGAACGAGATGGAGGTTGTTCCACGGTTCAAACAATGGGAAAAGAAATTGACTTGCGCAAAACTGTTTTGAGCGTTGCTCATGCAAAACTCTTGAACACCAAAAGCCAAGGACGGAACTATGAATTTACATTCACTGCATTTTGCCACTGCCTTTTATCATATTCCCTGAATGATTGACCCCCTGCCCCATTACAAAGGCCTATTATTATATTATTTAATAATTAACTGTCAACAACAATGCATTCAATAACCTTACAGTTTCAATAATCCCGCTTTGGCAATTGTTGGGCAAGGGAGCACAAATGATTGACGTTCATGTTAATGAATGGCGGCCTTGGGTTTCGGGATAGCAATTGGACTACTTTCTAATGAACCGTTTCCTCGAGATTTCGTAAAAAGCTGACGGATTTATATTGCTTGATAAAGGGAATAAGATTTCTCCAAAATTTCCTAAATTTGCGTGTGTGTCTGGCATAACCTTAAATTGATATAAAATTAAAAACTAATCTCAGCAATAAATATAGATACAAACATATGTACTTTAAATTATTTTGAATAAAATAACATGATACTCGATTTGAATGCACACAAACAATTAAAGGGGATCTTTCGCTGTACTAATCCATCATGAATTTTCATGCTTGAGGAGCCTGTTTTTTTTTTGTTTTTTTTACTATTAATTAGTATAATCATGTTCATGTTTTCAACTGAGAATTAATTTGCTCTACCTTTTTTTTAATTTTAAAAACTTGTAACTAAAGTCAACAAAGATCATTTGAGACAATGCAGAGAAATTATATTGATTTTGAAATATTTTATTCTTCATCAAATATTAAGAACTGAGTATTGAATTACCTAAATCATCAAATACCTGAATCACTTTTAAAACATAGATGATTTTGAATAGAAAACAGAATGTTAACAATCACGTTTTTTTTTTTTTGTTCTTCCTTCCTTGTCTTTTAGGATGTACGGTTTTTTTCCGGGCCTGGGGGCGAGAGTTAAAAATTAGCAACCACTTAATATAATTATTCTATCTAGATATCTATTTTTTTTTTAAAGAAATTATTTGATGTTTGATTTATTAATAAAAATTAAAAGTTCCCAACGGATAATGAAATTATTCAAACCATTGCGAATTGATAATTACTATCACTTTATCTTTGTTGATAATTATCAAGAAAATCGTTAATTATTATTATTATTATTTCGAACTTTTTCCTTAAAATTTAAAAATTTCCTTTAATATGAAAGTGAAATATTATTAATCGAAAAGCCATAATATTCGGACCATTAATATGTCATTTCTGCTAAACGAATTGACTTGTTTAAAATTAAAAGTAACAACGAATAGCGTCATAAAAACATATATTTCATTCTCACATGTTTGAAACAAAATGTAATTAAATTAAAAAAGTAAATAACTTGAATCTTGATATTGTCGAGTCATTAGATATTCAAGAAAAAACTTCTCATTAAATTTCAAACATCTATTTACTTATAAGTAAATCTAAAAAAAAAAAAAAAAAAAAAAAAAAAACTTTTGGAACTTTATATATATATATATATATATATATATATTTTAAGGTTATTATATATTTTACCGTATTATTTTCAATAGTGTTGATCTCTTTTAATGGTTTATAATTTTAAACTTTTCTCACTCCATTAATATAGATAAGAGTATATCGTAGATCAATGGGCGGTATTTTTTTTTTCAATTTATTTAGCAAACACTCACAGTATATGTATTTGTTTGTAGATCATAGAAATTATGTGGCGGTTCCTTCTTGAAAATAAGTTCGAAAAGTTGATAATTAATTAACTGGACATTGCATTGATGAAACTACATCAAAAATACTTAGGTAGTCTTATCGCTATTCTTAAAAACTGTAAAAAATAATATACAATCAATCGTATTGTTGTTGAAAGAATAAAATAAATTAAAAAATTTCTAAGAGTTAGAAAAACGGTAACTATTTTTTTTTTTACTATCGGCTGAAGCCCGAACCCCCTTTCAAAATGGAAAAAAAGTTTTTCTTTCATTGGTCCATATTTCTTACTGTAGCTAATCTTAGCTAAGTACTTCAAAAAATCACAGTATGTTATATATTATGGTGCAGTGTATTTTTTAAATTATGATGCATATACAGCTACTAAACAAACCAATATATTATGAAAAAAATATACATAAAAGTATTATTGTTCGTGTAGTTATATTTTTTTTTTAAATAAGGCTTCAAGAACCTTTTCAAATAGGTTGTAATTTTTTTGATTTTTTTTCTCGACCAAATTTTCGTTATATTTAAATTAATTAAAATAATTCCTGGATCCAAAATCAATTCCTGGATCCGCTACTGCAATAAAAAAACGAAAAAAATTATAAGTTTATTTTCCATTTCAGGATAATTACATTTTGAAAATATGTTTATATGTTTTGTTATCATGCTTCAGAAAGCTGAATCTTTCACTTTTTAAAACCCGGTTAAAGAAAGAACTGTTTCTAATAAAAATATTTTTTTACGTTTTTTACTTTAATTGAAAAATTATATTTATGTGTTATATTATCATTTCTTTACATTTAATTTTTTTCCTTAACAATTATAATAACTAAAACCTCTTGGGTGATATTTTTATTATAATTATTTTCTTTAAATTACGAGTAGGTAGGTAAATATAGGAAGTAATAAATATTTTTTTTTACTTATTTTTAAAACATCTGAACGTCGGTGGGTGAGCGGAAACTCAAAATAAAAGTCTACAATTTCCTCTGGCATAATTTGTTATTATGTATTTGCATTTCCTCTCCTACGTCTTGGAAGCTGGGCGATGCGTTGGTGTTTCGCGTTTGGAAGAAGGGGTGATGGCATATAACCATTTGACTCTCCCACTCATAAATCGCTCCCAATATTTGAGTGGGTTTGAAACAGCGTTGAATAAATAAAAAAATAAAAAACTTTCTGCGATTTAATATAAATATAATATTTTTTAGGCAGTGGAAGCAGCTATTATAAATAAAATATGGAAGTTAACACTACGATTCAACCTCTTTTTTTTTTTATTACTTTTGTTTAAATACAGATTTCTAGTATTTATCTTGTCCTTATGGAAAATGGAAATGGAGGTGTGAAATTATATTTCAAGTGACAGGTGTATTAAAGGGCGTAGTTAGCCAAAAAAAAAAAAAATTTCTTTAAAGTATACGCTATCCTTTTTTCGTACTGAGAGTTTCTTTCAAAATTTTGAAACACTAACATTCAACCTGCCGCTGTCAATAAGTTTTCAGAAATTATTTCTTGATATTTTATTTTTAATT